GACATGTTTTTTAAAAGTTGAACTTACATAAATTTTACATGGCTTTCTAAACATGCAGCTCTCTTGTGCGAGACGCGAGTGCAACGCTGATAGATGCCCCTGTTCTGTGTGAACGGCTTGGTTTCAGTTTCGTTGTTCAGTTTAAAGGTGGGGTAAGCGATTTTTCAAAAACACTTTAGAAAACCGATTCGGGCCGAATAGCAAAACAAACTTGCAGCCAATCAGCAGTAAGGGGCGTCTACTCATGATGTGGAGGAGAGCGCGTTCTGTGCACGGGACGGACATTAGCGAGCCGAGCGACAGAAAGATAGAGATGGCGGATAAAAAACAAAAGAGGAAAACGTCTGTGGAACAAAAGAAGGCTTAAGGCAAGAAGTAGGACCCGTGTAAATATCGGATTAGCTTGAGAGAACTGAAGGAGCAGAAGGCCCGCGATCGGACTCCGAGGTTGCTTTGTTTCTTCTCAATAGGTGAGTAAATCTTCGCCACACTGATGCTCTCGTTTTCCGCGATATATTGAATGAACAACGTAGCAGTGCCACATCTAGTGGGTTCAACTGGATAGGCTAACAAAAGCATTAAAATCCGATGACATTTACATTGTCGTCGCATTTCGTGCGCCACTGATAAGGCTGCCTGATGGCTGACGCAGACCTAAAATTCGAATGCAAAGTTTTTGCATTTGAATGTGGATTTTTTTTATTTTTTTTTATTCGACGAATATTCGAAATTCACATTTTTTTTGACAGCCCTATGACTGATAAAAAAGTTTTGCAATCCCTGCTGTAAAAGTGACTAAACATCCAGCATGATTCATAATGAATTAACTGTGTTGTGCTGTTTTTTTTTTTTTACTTAATAACAATAAAAATGTTTAAGAGTGATTTTTTCTTCCCCCCCCTTTTGTTTTTGTATCAATATAAGATGCTTTGTTTGCTTTTTAGGGTGACTTTTTATGGGGTCTACAGATGAAAAATAGCCTTTTGGCAAATTCTGGCACATTTACAGTAATGTTCATTAATGTGCATTGCCCCTGTAAACAAGAGTGATTTCAACTCTTCAACCCTCTGTGCGAGAGTATTGCGTGACAAACAGGATGAAACCGACTACAAATAGCTCCTCCTGCTGTCGCTCTTAAATCTCATCTCTCTGTAGTTCTTCAAACCTGCTGTCAAAATACATGCAGAAAGCTGAGTTTTTGTCTGCTTGAAGACAGATAATGTAAATGTGAATGTGATGGAGACGTTTGTGTGCAGACATCCCTCTGCTGCCCTCCATCTCGTCCATGAGCGGCTCTGATGAGGAGGAACCGGGCGGCCCGTTCACCGTTCACTGGCTCAACAACAAAGAGCTGCACCTGACGCTGAGCATGGAGGTGTTTCTACAGCAGCTGAGGAGCAGCGGCGAGCAAAACGGACCCACAGAGCGCTACGGTACAGTGTGCATCATCTGAGCCATATATCAGAGGACAGGACTGATTTACGTTATGTGAGAGTGACATTCTTGGAATTTGTGCCCTGCATTTTTCCCATCCAAGTGCACACACACACACTCATACTTGCATTGGTGGTTTACGGGGACTCTCCATAGGTGTAATGGTTTTTATACTGTACAAACTGTATTTTCTGTCGCCCTACACCAACCCTACACCTAAACCTACCCCTCACAGAAAACTGCTGGCAATTTTTGAATTTCATAAAACACCGTTTTGTATGTTTTGTAAGCCTTTTGTGCATACGGGGACACAGGAAGTGTCCTCATAAACCATGTTTACATTGTAGTACCCATGTCATTATACACATTCGTGTCCTCATAAACCATATATACCAGTACACACACTCTCACACACACGCACGCACGCACGCACACACACGCACACACACTCGCACGCGCACACACACACACACACACACGCACGCACGCACACATACACACACA